GTTTTGCTCTACAGCGCACGAGCAATTAAGTTGAGAGGTTGTTTTTTTAGTGTGAAGTCATAATATTGTTCTGTCAGGTCTCCTGGCTGGGTACAGTTGTTATGTTTTAACACTCAGTGAGATGGGGGAGAGAATGGGAAGGGTAAAAGCGAGGAAATTCTTGGGTTGAGATAAAGACAGTTTTAATAGGCAAAGCAAAAGCTGCATACACAAGCAAAGTAAACCAGGGAATTCATTCCCCACTTCCCAAGGGTGTTCAGCATCCTCAGGACAGCAGGGCTCTATCATGGGTAACAGTGACTTGGGAAGACAAACACCATCACTCCAAATATCCCCACTTCCTTCTTCTCCCCCAGTTTTGTCAGGATCATGACACCATATGGTCTGGAATGTCTCTTAGGTCTGTTGGGATCAGTAGGCCTGGCTGTGTCCCCTCCCAACCCCTTGTGCATCCCTAGCACACTCACTGGTGGGCTGAGGAGCAGAAAAGCTCTTGATTCTGTCTAAGCACTGCTCAGCAGTAACTAAAACATCACTGAGTTATCAACTTTTTCCAGCACAAATCCAAACCACAGCCCCATCCCAGCTACTGTGGAGAAAATAACTGTATCCCAGACAAAACCAACACAGCGATCACAAAAGGTGGACAGGAGGCATGTTGAGGAGAGCAGTACTGTTTGGAGTAAGAACTACAGTTTGGTTCTGGCTGCAAGGAAGAAATTTGCTTGAATTCCCTCAGGACATGGGAGACCTGCACAGACGTAGAGGAGAGAATTGGCTGGCAGCATCCTTATTACTGGTACTGATGCATGAGCCAGACTGGATTTCCCAATCCAAGACAGGCAGCCGGGTCTGGCAGTGAGCACAGCCCATCTTTTCCCCTCATCAGCCACAATAAATACAGAGCTCCCTGGTGCCAGCTCGCAAAGGAGCAGTTTTCAGAGTGCTTAGCACACTCCAGACTTGAAACCCCAGTGCTTCTAGGTTTAATGTGTCGAGTGAGGTCTGCTGTTCTCTGGCTGCACACCCGCTTGGCTGCCGAGCGAGTGTCAGTGCCCTGCCCGCGGGCAGGGTGTGGAGCACAACTGTCACTTTGAATCACTGAGCCCGGCACATGGTGCAGGCAGGCAGAAGAAGCAGTTGTGAATCGTTGGGCACGCAGCAGCAGATGTCAGGGCACGGAAATGGGTGAACAAACAGCGGCAGCGATGAAAGCCCATCCTGTTCCTTCACAGGCCCATCTGCAGGTCTCCAGGAGTGCAAATAATTGTACTTCTCAGTTCTTACTCATGGTCATATTTTCTCTGCTCACCTCAGCTTGGGTGTGGATCCATTAGCCCTTGCTGATTGCTCCCAGTGAAGAGAGGGTCTACTTTTGAGGAATGGCTTTGAAGATGGGGATTGTGTTTCACGGGGCAGAGCCTGCTGCCCTCTTTGTAGTGACTTTGGTGGGCAGACTGGTATATCATCTCTCAGTGAATGATTCTCACTCCAGCTTCTGGTAAATTCACTCGGTGTGAGGCATTAGCATCATAGAATCATCAAGGTTGGAGGAGACCTCTGAGATCATTGAGTCCAACCATTAATCTGCCACTCTGCTGTAACCCCTAAACCCCAAACTGTATCCTCCAGTGCCAGACCCAGATGCCTCTTAAATGCTTCCAGAGATGGTGACTCCACCACCTCCCTGGGCAACCTATTCCAGTGCCAGACCACCCTAACAGGGAAAATATTTTTCCTAACACCTAAACTGAATCTCTGCTGTCTCAGCTTATGACTGTAAGCCTCCAGCCTTCCCAGTCTGCACAAATGCCCTGGCACCCTCTGTGTCAGCAGTGGGAGGAGGATCTCCCCTTTGTCTCAGAAAGCACCCAGGTCCTTGGGCTGGCTGCTGGTTGTGTTTGAACCCAGGCAGGGGAAGCCTGCCTCAAAGGATCTGAAATTTTGGAGGCTGTGCCACACCTGCTCGGTCAGGATACTCCTGCTGTATTAGGTGATGGAAAAGCATAGGGTGGTAGGTTTGCCCACACATTTGTGCAAGCCACATGCACTGCAAGGTCTGGGCTACTGTGGGTACGTTAAATGAGTGCTGACAACCTGTCAGGCCTCAGCATAACCCTGTGTAGACTGGCCAGGCTGGAGAAGATCCTTAAAATATAATTTACAGTGCGAATGGTGACTGAAGTTCAGCAGATGCCACTGTAATTACTGGTGCTCACACAAAGAAAACAGTCTAATGGATGCTGCCTTCTCACTAAAGTGTTCTGGGAGTCACAGCGTTTGAAAATCCTAAAGAGGTTTTCTAGCAGCAAGAAGTGTAAAATGTCTGGGAGCCACAGAGAATTGAAAGAGAGAAGAAAATTATTAATGAAGGGCTGTGGATTTGAGGATCTCTGGCTTTAATGGCTAAAGTCTCCCAACAGCTGAAGTGGGACTTGACTTAGGTTCAAAAGAAGGAAAATTGGAAATCCCTCCCAGAGAGAGGAGGATTATTTGATTTTGCTACTCTTAAAGCATCCAGTGCCATTGATGCATGAGGCTGTGCCTCATTGAGGAGGAGAAAGCAGAATCTATGCCATCCCTTTCCATCAGCTCAGCAGCTGGTTGTTGTTAGTGACCTTAGGAAGGGGCACCATTGAGCTAAAGCTGGATTAGGACAGTTGGTGTTACTGCAGGATTGCTTCTTCCACAGTGCAACAAGCAAAGTATGATAGTACTGTGATGAAGGTGCTGTTGAGAAACACGTTGTCCATGTTTCTTTTAGAATCCCATAGAACTAGAAGTACCAAAATAAAAGTAGGGAGGGAATCGTGTGTGCCCAAAAAACTGCCCCAGGCCATTTTGTAAGCACACTTGTATTTATTGCCAAGTAGAGGCTGTTGCTCCCAAGAATGGTATCATGGACACCCTCAAATGTGAGCAGCTTTTACTGGAACCCAGAGTTGACTATGGAGCAGGTGACAGAAGGGAAAATAAAAATGGTTGCAAGTCACAGGCTGTTTCCCCTGGGGATTGCTCAAGCTCCTGCTACAGGAACAGGAGTGCTGCTGTGCTGGCTCTGGTCTTCAGTGGGAATTTTTCATCAGCTGGAATTGGTTTAAATTCCAAGTGCACCTTGGATCTGGTGCTTTAATGTCTCACAGACTTCATGGCTATATGGTCTATTCACAGACTTTAAACTTGCTTAGGAGCCTTGTGTGATCTCTTGCTGGCAGCACAGCAGTCCTGTCCCAGACCAGTGCTGCTGGAGCGGGTCAGGCTTGGAAAGTGACTCTGGCTATCAGTGCTGAAGCTCTGCTGTGCCCAGAGGGTCTAACACAATGTAGGGATCTGAAGCATCCAAGATCTTTATGGCCTGTTGTTCTGTGTCCTCATGGGAATATTGCTGTTGTAGTACAGATGGGGTCCTGGACCTTGCCACTGATCCACCTGAGCCATCTCATCTGGTACACTCTATCCATGGCTCTTTCAAGCCCAAGACTCACCTGCTCTTGCCAAAGCCATGGAGTCTGGCACGTTGTGACACTAGTGAGTTTGGAGCATAGGCTTGGGATACTTCTACAAAATGACTTTTGTCTGGAGGTTATTGACAGTCTGAAACCAACCCCAGATGTGCAGAATGCTAGACCACCAAGCATACCACAGCAGAAATACGTTGCCTGACTCTAAATGATCTCTTTTGTGCTACCTGAGCCACGCTAGCCATGCTAACATGGAGCTCAGTGCAGACAGATAGTGAGCTCAGCCATGCAGCTAATGGGGTTACCTGCTTCCAGGTCCTGAAGCTGCAGCTTACCTTGGAGTCTCTCTGCAGCATTGCGGTGCAGACATACAGAAGCTGAGACATTTATTTGGGAATGAGAAGTCTGTTTAATTTGGGCCTGCCCTAATTGCTGGCATGAAATCCTTAATTGTGTCATTAAACTATAAAGATCATCAATATGCTTTGATCTAACAAATAAAGATGCCTTGTGTTCAGGATGAGTCACAAATCTGTGAGTCAGGAGAAGGGAATGGATTGCAAATAAACAGCGATAAGTGAATAGATTGGAGAGCACAGCATTTTGATGTGGCTAATCAAATTGTCCAAAGGGATTGAAGTGATGCAGGACTTTTATGGGTAATCTAAGATGGAGCTTTTTAACTAATACTTTGTTTTTTCCTCTTTCTATACACAGACAACATTTCCTGTGACTCCATCGCTTGCAACAAGCCCCACAATGGCTTTTAGTCCCTACCTGAGTCATGTTTCTCCTGGGATGGGCTTGGTTCCTGCAGAGCTTTTACCAAATACTCCTGTCCTGGTTTCCGGAAATCCTACTGTTACAGTACCAGGAGGCTCTGCTGGGCAGAAACTGATGCGTACGGATAAACTGGAGGTATTTGGACATCTGATACAATACTGCTGATGGGGATGAACAGGACATGTGGTCCCAGCTGTTGTTCTCTGCTAGAATGACCTGATGCAGCATAGTACAGAGTTTAACTTGCAGCTTTCCTAACCACAGGGCTGCTCTCTCTGCTTGAGTAGACTCTCATGAGGGCCCTGATCCCAAATCCTTGGAAATTTGAGAGAACTCACTCTTAAGATTTCAGTGGGTGTTAGAGCAGGGTTGCATTGGGTTTGTGTGTGATTTGCCACACTTCTAAACAATAAAACAAAAGTAAGTAGATGGTCTGCTCTTACACTGTGTTGAGTGGGAGATGTTTTGGGAGCAAGAGAAAAAAAAGCTGCTGGGACTGGTGAGTATGGGCCATTGGAACGATGTCTCTTCCCCCAGCTGTCCGGGCATGCTGGGACTCACTGTTAGAGGAGTTGTAAATGTCTTTCAAACCCTAAACAGAGGCTCTGCAGGAGATAAGGGCTGAGGACCTGAATTCAGAGGCCCCTACAGGTGTAAATTATAACACAGGAAGGTAGTGGAGAAGGGTGTAATTTCAAAACACATTGTTTTGTGTGATGTACTTTATATTGCTTTGCTGATGTCTCACCTTTCCCCACACTCTGTGATAGCACACTGGTACATGAACTACAGCACTAGCTATAGTACTCAACAATTTCTCTGTTCCTCAGACAAGGAGACCTTACAGATCTGTTTTGTGAAACCTTTTCTTCTGCCTCTGATGCTTCAGTGCTCATAACTTACAAGGATCTGCAAGATCTTAGTAAAACTAGTAATTTTGGCAACACCTTCAAACACGTTGCTGTGTAATCAAATGTACTGTCATGTAATGCCAGGGTCAGGGTTTTATTGTGAAGGGCAGTGAGCCTATTTATGTGTAAGAGGCACCTCATATTTAAGAAAAAGTACTTGTTCAAAATAACAGCAGCATGTAACATTTAGAATTAAATGTCCTACCCCGAGTGTGCTCCATAACAAATACATAATCCGGGTGAGACACAAATGGCAGAGTTATTAACATTTAAGCTTTAGAGGCAGGGGAGGAATCCTGAGCTCCAAAAGTTTTGTCAAAGTGACATTGACTTTCTGGGGACACTTTCCATTCTGCACAAATTCTGTACTTCACTTGCATTTGGTAATTGGCCTTATTAACATTATGGGTTTTTTCATCCCCTGAAGCAGTTGCCCCTGTGACTGTTGGTCTTTGTGCTGTCCCAGATGAGCATGGATTTAGAGTACACACATGGTTTAACGTGGTGAATTTACTGATATTCTGTGTTGAAAATACTGAATGGAGATTGACTTGATGTTCTGCTCAACAATGTGACTTTCTTTTAAGGTTTGTCGAGAGTTTCAGCGTGGAAATTGCACACGTGGTGAGAATGATTGCCGCTATGCTCACCCTATAGATATTGCAATGATAGACACAAATGAAAATACTGTTACAGTTTGCATGGATTACATCAAAGGTCGATGCTCTAGGGAGAAATGCAAGTACTTTCATCCCCCTGCACACCTGCAAGCCAAAATCAAGGCAGCTCAACACCAGGTGAACCAGACAGCTGCAGCTGCAATGGTAAGTAGAGCTCTTCTCAAGCTGTATTTCCATCACTAAGAGATCTCACGTGTCATTTGTGTTGTTCGTGGAAAAGTAGAGAGCTTTGTAAATGGCTGACTAGAGAGCCGAGAGCATGTGCAAGATGCATCCCATCTCTTCATCCTTTCTCTGTGCTCACCATAGCATGAAGCTCTCAGAGGCACAGTACATCTCATCAGGTAGGGACATGGTGCCCAACCCTGTGGTTTTCTGATATGGCATCGTGACGTGACGTGAATGCAAGTGCAGCAGCACTTGGAAGCAACACCTTCCCTAGTGAAGTCACGGGTCAGTTCAGCTTCCTCAGCACACAATGAAAGCAAAGACTGCCCATCCGATAATACATCC